AAAAAAAAAAAAGTAAACTCTACGGCACCCTGGTGGTGTAGTGGGTTACAAGCTGGGGTGTGAACCACAAGGTCAACAGTTCGAAGCCATCTGCCACTCTGCAGGGGATTCTACCCCAGTAAACAGTCTCAGAAACCGACATGGCCAGTTCTACTCAGATCCATGGGGTCGCTATGAGTTGGAATAGTTTGGATTTTTTGTTTACAGTAAACACCATGGCACATACAGACAAGCAAGAATAGTGGTAACAAATGATCATTTGCAAGTGGTACACAGGTAGATATGTATGCTAAACAGTTGAAGAAAGTCATACAAGAGTATACCACCAAGGATGTAGAAGTACGCCAAGAACAATGCTGTCAGCTGATTCCAACTCATGGTGACTGTAGAGTCTGGCTGATAGAGCAAGGCTGTAATCTTTATAGGAGATAACATCTTTCGCCTAGCATCTGAGCATGTGTCACCAGGCCTCCTTATATATAAGTAGAGTGGTGGGTATTTCTACATACAAAGGGGCTTCAAAAAGTTGCTGGAAAAATTCCATTATCTTTTCATTCCATTTTCCCACAAACTTTCTGAGGGCCCCTTGTATTTTTATGTACTGTATGTATGTATGTATAGGGTCAAGATGAATAAAAATCGACTTGACAACAGTGGATTGAAAGATGTATTAATCTGTGTAACAGAGCACGAGCACATGGGGTTATGGAAATTCTTGGGCATGACCAAGCACTTCATGACTGAAATAATGGGCTTAACGGCTATAAGGCCCATCGTCTCACGGGACATCTAGGTTAATTGGCACAACATAGTTCATAAAGTTCTACATCCTAGGCAGCTGAGTAGTTTCAGGAGTCTTAAATGTTTCCAAGAGGTCATCTAACACACAATTATTGGTTTCTTCCCATTTGAAGCCATATAAAGTAGAGAAAACCAAAGACTCAAGGAAGCAATTAGTCAAAAGGGCTAGTAGCTAACGGCCCAATGAGACACAGCCTCCACTAGCCTGAGACCAGCTCTGTCTGCTACATGGTGTCCAGCTACCACTACCAAGAGCTGGGGAGCCGGGGCGGGGGCGGGCGTAGATGTGGGCGGGGACAAGGACAGGAGGTCAAGGTTAGAGTAGGAGGAAAATACAGAACAAATTCAAATACACAAAAAAGGCCATTCGTATTGGCTTGCTAAAGACAGGCAAACTTAAAAACACCCTTTTACTTTGGGAATAAAACCACTCCCCTTAAATCACCTATCAGCCAAATAATCCGTACAAAAGGTGAACAATGACAGTAACACCTGTGAGGCACGTTCTCCTTAGAACAATGAAGGGAGGGGTAGCACTTGCCCTAAAGCAAAGAGAAGGCTGGGAAATGGGGAACTCAGGGCAGAAATTCGAAGCGTGCAGAATATACAGATGGCTGAGATCATGACCAAAGGAACTGTGTATGAACTTCCAAGAAAGTATATTGCTATGTAAACTTTCACCCACAGCACAATCAAATGGGAAGATAGGAGAACAAAATTTGAGGTTCTCCAACTTTATTTGGTATACAAAGGCGAAATGAATCTCGGGATCTTAAATCTTTTTATTAATCAGACAAAAAACCAACACACTGGAGGCATAATATACATAACAGTTTAAAGCAAAAGGGCTTAATAGTATAAAGTAGCTTTTCTCAGACCCACTTTCATCAAGGTGGTAAAGGGGACCACGTTAAGTCAAGTCATGATTTTTTTAGGTTGCCAGTGCCAACCTGCCTTTGGCTTCTCTCACTGCTGTCGTGTCCACCCTGACTCATGGAAACCCTAGAGATGGATCAGACTTCCTCCAAGTCGCAAAAGCATATACTTCAAGAACTCCAAATTCATCAAATCTTAAAGCAACTTTTCCTCTGGCAAATAGGGACTCCGGACAAAAGGCAGATGTATATGACCCTCACAGAGCTAAGCTACAGACATTTCTGCTTCTGGGTTCTTTCCGTTCACGTGTTGTGTATGTCCATACTGGTGTTTGGAAACCTGGGCATCTGATAAGGAAGGTCCAACTATATTCGAAGCTTTTGATAACCAACATACAACCGTCTATCACTGGCATTAGTATACCTCTGGCTAGCCCATGATCATATTACCGTGTACACTGGAACCCTTACTTTTGAGATAAAGCACAGAAGACAGTTGTTAATGAAACCTTAATTGAACTGTCACCACACCATCTTTACCAGCAAGGTAATAGGTAATTCACTACTTTTACACAACTGTCCAATATTGATAAGTTATTCCACTAGTTAAATTCAGCAGACAGATAAATTAAGCCCGGTCGACTAAATTATTCAGGGACACATCTGAACGGTAAAATGCCACATCACTTCTATAAATACCTCTCCTGGTCTACATGGAGAATTATATCCCTTAAATTACATGCACCTTTTTTAGCCATCAATTAGTACCACTGAATGTGTGTCCAGAAAGAGAATTGGGGACAGACAGTTCCCCTTCATGGGCTGTGCCAGAAGAATCTTTGCAAACTCCGGTCCTACAGTAAAGCATTAACTAACTGGCTATGAGTTTGAGTCTAAGTGAATCTTTCAATACCCAAGTCATTTTATGGTACAGTGGTTTGAAGCAAATGATGGCAACATTGGGAACATATTATATTCCATTTTAATAATACTAGAAAATAGTTGTTTCAGACTAAGTGCTTTCTAAAGTGAAGGGGGAAATTCTGGTTCAGTTGGTTACAAAAAGACACAGTCTAACTATCTCTAGCAATTCACTGCCCGGGATTGGTGTGCAGGTTTCCTAGTTTCAGCAGGCTTACTTAGGTCATAAAGCAGTTACACTCCAAAGATAATAAGCAATTCAGACAGTAAGTCATCAATATGTAAATATAAAAATAGAAACACATTTGCATACTAAAACACACACCTGGAACTCTCTTCCCTTTTTCTCCTGCCAAATTGCCCGTTTCACCTGTAGCAGCTGATAAAAACACTTGAAGCAGCTAACTAGAAGAACTTGGTTGAAGAACAAAGGGCCTGACTAGATCAGCTCATCAAGCAGCAACGCACGCCTAGTGCTAAGTGCTGGGGCGGAAAAAGCAGCACCAGAGCCCGTTCTTACCCTCAAGGAGCTTACAAAGGGACGAGATGACGCGGGATACATATGTAACCATACATGTACGCTAAATGGTGCATTTCAAACTGCTAGGAATAAATTCCATTCATGTTCGGAGGGTCAAACAATGAAAGTAATCTAAAACAGATTCAGATCATCAAACGCATTAGGGTTTTCATAGGTCAGGAATTCAAAAGCACCCACCAAGAAACCTTGCCTTCGAAAACCTTTTCCCTTAAACTTGCACAGTTAAAAACTTCAAGTCCCATCACCCTTTGATGGAAGGTGTAGGTAAATAACTAACACCTTTAGAATTCAGTCAACCCCTTTCCCTTTCGGTGACCAGTGCTCAGCAGTGTACCCAAATGAAAGAGGGCATACAGATTTAAGAAAATTCACAAACGCTCAGTCAGTAAATCAGTGACAAAGTTGAAAGTAAGATACAACCTTTTTCCTGTTTTCCAGCCCCCCTACCGAAGCTTTGAAATCCTCAAGGGTTAAGCAAGGAATGGAAGTTCACAGTGAAATCCCTGGGGATAGAAATGTGGAAGAGAGGAAGACAGGAAAGGCAAGGCAAGTCCCTGAGCAAAGCGACTGAAGAGGCACTATTGTCGGCTCCACTCCCTTTTCCATTAGGAATCACGCACACCTTGGAGAAAGGAGCAATGCAGTAGGAACCTCCTTGGAGAGCCAGCTAGGAAAACACTGGATTCTACTGGTTGAAAAAAAGGGCCAGATCACTCACATTTTCGATTTTCAGTGATAAAAATGGCCTGATATAAAGCAAAAAGGGCGTTCAAACCAATTACAGCCTCAAAACAATAATGACAGGAGACATTTACAGGGCTAGTTAGAGTTCATTTTCCTGTGGTGATGGGGGGTTGTCTAGCTATTAACAAGAATCTGTTTAAGTGAACTCAAAACAGCAATTCATTTATCCACAATGGAATACCTACTCTTGGGGAGGGGGGGTCCAGTCCCTCTCATTATTTTGAGAGGAATAAGGCTTTAATTGATCAATGCACTTCATTATCATGCACTTCAATCAACTCCCTAGGAAAGGCAAAAACCAAAGTTGCGCTTAAAATGCCCTTCCTTAAGACTTTTTAATAAAGTATTCCAGCACTCAGGAAAGTAGAGCTGCTGCATTTGTTTAAAAAGTATACTTACTAACACACGTGCAACTGACTAACTGCAACAACCTAACAGCAACTTGACGGCACTCACACATTACGCCGAATGTGGGCCACTGCATAGCTAGTCTACTGACCTCATTTGTGGCCCTCATGTGTGATGCTATATTTAACGCACTCTCATCGAAAGGGTAAAACTACATGCTTCCCAACTGTAGCTCTGTGGTTTAAGAGACACCACGCAAGCCATGACCCTAACTAATTCAACTTTCAGCCCCACCCTCAAGACTGAAGGTAAGGGGGGTCAGATTCAAAGTCAAAAGGCTGAGAGGATAAGGAAAGTCATTATGCAAAGTATGCACACCTCCCAATGACAACACTGTTGGAAACAACCTGGGGCCAGTTGTGACACTGGGCACAAGGGTCAAACATGGGAGAAGATGGCCGAGCTTACTAGGAATACATATACATTCATCTGCTGATCCCCAACATTCAGAACCTTGCTCAGGGTTCTGGTAGACAGCAAACTTCTCAGCGTCGCTCGCGCATCAATGTGTGCTCCACTAAAACTTCCCATGACTCAGAAAGGTGCAAGTCTAGCTAGCCCACAGGGTAGGCCTCTTGACCACACAACTAAGCAGCTTGCTCCACTTTGGTCAACATGATGACAACCGTGAGGGCCGTCAGGGCTGACTCGCCCAGTCACCACCAGGCGAAGAAACCACGAGAAGTTGGGTTTGTTCATTTGATACTCACCAGACAACACCAAAAGCTCCATATCCAATAGGTCTATCCGGCTCAATATCCAGCTGCTGTTGTGGGTGATGCGAGTGCTGATGATGGTGAGCCTTAACTGTGGCAGCCGTGGCAGCCTGTACCTGAGCTGGGGCTGCTGCAGCTGGTCCAGGAGCCTGACCCGGTGCCGGTGATGGGAAATATGGTTGTTGTTGCCCAGGGTTTAACATGGCTGCGGCTGCGGCCGCTGCTGCGGCTGCCGCAGCTGCCGAAGAGGTATGCTGCTGTACTGGGTGTACAGCAGCAGCCGACCCCGGATGAAGATGGTGCTGAGGGTGGTGGTGGTGGTGAAGGTGAGGAGGAGGGAGGTGTGGAAGGTGGTGGTGATGGTGGTGGTGGTGACCTGCTGCTGCTGCAGATGTACCGCCATTGTAAGCCGCCATCATTTTTGCGTTGGCTCTTGCGCCACAAAGAGACATTCAAAAAAAAAATGCCCTTTGATTGGAAAGCAAACTGGGTCAAGCTGTCATTTGGCCATTTAAAAATGAAGAAACCACTCACTCCACCTCAAAAAACATAAGAGCGGAAACTGGCCTTATGTCTTCATCAGTCAATCCAAGCAAGTTAGAGGGTCTTGGTGTTTAGTGTCGGGGTGAGTGTGTGTGTGTGTGTGTGTGTGTGTGGAGGGGCGTGGGTTGCCAAAATTAAAAAAAGTAAAGGAAAAAGAAAAGAAAAAAGGGAAAAAAAGGACCCCTTCCCCCCAGGATTCCAGCCACAAGTGGGTACTAAAACTCCATTCTTAATTTGGGGGGGGTTCCAACTTTGAATGTGGGAATAAAGGCCAAACCTCCCGACCCCCTGAACTCCACACACGAAAAGGATCAGGTAACTCACCACCCTTGGAATCTTCTAACAGGGTTGACTCATCTACCCCTTCCATTCCCACATCCTTTTCTGAACACCTACCACCTCCTCAAAAACCCGATTTCAAAAAATATATCTATACTAAAAAATTAAAAAAAAGAAACCCAAAACCCTCCAACACTACAAGTTAAAAAGATGGGGGGAAATTTCCAGGGAAAAGCGCTTCCCCCCCCCTCGAACTCTCAGGCCTTCCTACATCTCCCCCTGCTCCTGGCTTATTGCTAGTCAGGTTGACCTGGTTGGGGGGGGGGGGGGGGGGGGCGGGCAACTAAACTTTCCTGAGCAGAACCAGCCAGGGAAGGAGGCAGGAGGGACCGAGTGAGGAGAGGCGGCGACAGGGCTGGCCACGGAGAGGGGAGAGCGGACCGGGGCAAAGTGAAGGTACGGAGGTGCAGGAAGGAATGCAGGAGGAGAGGTGGGCAGCACTCGGACGCCCAGAGGGAACCGCCCCGGGATGAGGTGAGGGTCCCGGGGCCAAAGAATAGGAGCCCCGGGAGGCGGGCGGGGTACCGTCGGAAGCGGGCTGACTCCTGCCCCCGCCGCCGGCTGCTACAGCTGAGGAGGGTTGGGGGGGAGAGCGGGTGGGTCCCCCCGCGCGATGGCCCCCGCAGGGCTCAAGGCTGCTCCGTCTCCCCCCCTCCCCCCCACCCGGCTTCAGTCCCCGCGGCCGCTTTCTCTTCAGCCGCCGCCTCCTCAGCCGCCGGTGCCGCTGCGGCCGGACTCACCTCCCCTAGCAAAGCCGGATAGAGCGGAGCCAGCGGCGGACACGCGCAACCAGCCGCCGAGGCCCCGCCCCCGCCTCACACTGACCGGCTGCCTTAGCCAATCCACGCCCACCTGTCCGCGACCGCCTCCAATCCTGGGCCGGGAGCTTCAGACAGGCGCATTGTTCGGCCAGTGGCAACAAGGTGTGGGTCTCCTGGGGAAATCCCGCCCTCGATCCGGGATGGGCAGACCGACAGACCAATCAAAAGGCAGGATTTGGCCTGACCGACAAGGCTGAAGGCGAATGGAAAGCCAATGATCTCCGTGACATTTTCTTTCGCCTCTCTGCTCTTTTCTTTTTCTTCTTTTATTTTTTTGGCAGGAGCAGGAAGCTGCGTGCTAATCCCGCCTGCAAAAGCTGGAAGAGAGGGACGGAACGAAAGAACCAATCATAAGCCGAAGACAAAGAACACCACAACCAATCCTTGGGTTGAAGATCGAGTAGGATGGGGCTGGGGCCAGATAGACATTTTATTTGACAAATGGAAGAAAAGCTTCATCTCGGTCCCGCCCTTCAGATCTCTTATAGGGCAGGATTTGGAGAATTCGCTGTCAGATCGGCTACGTCCTCTTCGAGGGGCGGGGCCAAGTGAGGGGTGTGGTCTAAAGATTAACGGGGCGGGGCATATAAGAAGAAGGCGGAGTCCGAATTATTTGCTGGTTCATTGATAAGAGTATTTTCTATTCTGTCCATTTTAATGGCGTAAAGCGTGGAGAAATAAGGGAAGAAAAAAGACGAGCTTCAGTAACTCAAGTTCAACACTACCGCTTCAAAAGAAACTCTGTAAACTGACAGTTCATAATACATAATGTCTGATTCTCCAATGGCTAATCCTGATCTTGAAATAAAGTGGCATTACTCCAGCATTCAGAACCTCACTCTCAATAGGTGAGCAGGCAGGCTGATGATACAGATTCAATGACACTAATAACAATAAACTTAACCACAAAGATAATAATTCCCACCATGATTTCCTAAGTAAATGATCATGTTCATTAGAACACCTCTCTTTCATACAATCTCACACATTTGAATTTACTCTTTAATGTGTGAAATAACCTTACAGAACTTTATCTGTAGAAAAGCTGTGCGCTCAGAAAGCCGGAGGCCATCTCCGTTCTTCTTTTGCCTCTTCGCTCCTCCCCTTCCAACCCTTGCAACTCACCGTCAAGTCTCTCTGGCGACCACCTCTTTACTTAAACCACGAGCATCTTTATAGAATCCCTGGTTCTCTGCTTCTGAGAAAGCAAACATTGACAAATAACCCTAGGAGAGCACGGTTTTGTACTTACATCAGTGTTTCCCAAGGTAGATGATGTCACACTGTGGGACCACTCACCGCCATTGAGTCGATGCTAATTCACAGTGACTCTATAGGTCAGGGTCGAGCTACTCCTGTAGCTTTCTGAGACTAACTGTTTATGCAGTAGAAGGATCCAAATCCAGTTACCTGCACTTTATTCTGAATTACGGGCTATAGCACAAAAGTTTTTCATTGCCAGGGGGATCCTAAGTAATTATTTTCCTGAAAATGGAGTGGTAGGTCAAATAAGTTTGGAAACGTATGAATCCATTCTCCACCAGGGACACAGTAATCTTTAAACAATAAATACAAGTCAGATCCCTCCACTAAATGAAATATTTCAATGACTTCCCACTACCCTTGAAGCAGTACACCTAAATGGTCCTGAATGATCTAGTTCTCACCTCGACTCTGCACTTCAGACATTCTGAATGTCTTTTAGTTCCTCAAATGCTTCCTTTGCTTCAAGCCTCCATGCTTATTTTCAGCCGAACACTTGCCACCCACTCTTCACTCCTTTAAACTACCTTCACCTACCCTCAGGTCTTCATGTAAATTCCACTTTGTTCTATCTTTATCTCTGTCTTTCTAGCTTTCTTTTTTCCCTTTTTTGCTGCAAAGCTTTCCCAGGCCCTGTTCTAAGGTACATGTCTCTGTGTTCTTGATCTCCATGGCACTAGCTCCCTCAAAGCACCAAGAACTCTTTCAGTCTAATTAATGGTTGAGTATGAGGAGCCCTGGTGGTATCATGAGTTAGACATTGGGGAGTATGAGGAGCCCTGGTGGTAGCGTGGGTTAGACATTGGGCCACTAAATGTGAGGTCAGCAGTTCAAATTCACCAGCCACTCCTTGGGAGAAAGATGAGGCTTTCTATTCCAGTAAAGAGTTACGGTCTCAGAAGTGCACAGAGGCAGTTCTAACCTGTCCTATAGAGTCCCCATGAGTCAGAATGGACTGGATGTGGCATTGAGTATACTCAGACTAGCCTTCATCCCACGGAACTCTGTATCCCTAGTTCCTAGAACCCAAAACAAAACAAAAACACGTTTGCCATTTCCTCACACCATGTAACACACTATTCCATGGTGCCTGAAAAGGTGAAATCTTTGTATTGAGTTACTGAAAGCAGGAGAAATCGCAGCTCTGCCATTTAGTGCCAGCTCCACGGTTTAAGCAATTGAACCTCTTTGAGTATCGAAGGAGAAAGCGGAAGGCGTCTGCTCCCACTCAAAACCCAAACGGATGGCCATTGAGTCGATGCCGACAGTAGACCCTCTAGGACAGGGTAGATTGCTCCTGAGAGTTTGAGACGGTAACTGTTTACGGGAGTAAAAAGCCCATGGTTGTGCCGGCGGTACAAACTGCTGACCTTGCTGATTGCAGCCCAACTCGTAACCACTCTGCCACCAGGGCTCCGTGGCTGCTCCCACAAAGATTTACAAAACCTGGGAAACCCTGCAGAGGCTCCCTAGGAGTCAGAAGCAATTTCATCCCTTTGGGTTTACTTTTTTTGGTTTTCAGAGTATCAGTGTCTGTTTCGCCAAGTTGATGTCAGGATTGCGTGAGGTGATAGGAGTGCTCGACAAGCAGGAGGTCCATGGTGGCAGAGTGGGGTAAGCATTGCCCTGCTAACTGCAAGGTTGGTGGTTGAAGCCCGCCAGCTGCTCTTGAGGAGGACAAGAGACTCTCTGCACCTGTAAAGATTCACAACCTCGAAAGCCCTAAGGGGCATCCCTCCTCTCATTTTATGGGATCAGACGCCACTAGAGGACAGAGGGTTGGGTTGGGTTTTTTGACTTTCACAAAGAGGACCAGTTCAATCTGGGTTCTTTCTCTTTCCCTGCCCCCACCCTCCTTTAAGGCATGAGATGCCTGTTGACGGCTCCCGGTGTTTGGTACATCAGCCTCATTCAAAGTGTAGTTTGCTAGGCGCGTGTTGGGGAGCTCTGGGAGCATAGGACGCAAAGGTCAACACCTGCCGCTCCTCGAGAGAAAGGCTGAGCTTTCTGTTCCCGTGGAGAGTTAGAGTCTCAGAAACCCACAGGGTCAGTTCCACCCTGTCACAGAGGGTCACTAGGAGTCGGGAGACTGGATGGCAGTGAGTGAGTGAGGAGCTTGTTACACATGCACATCCTCCATTTCTCCCCCAGGCAGGTGAGCCAGCAGCTCTTACACACTGAGTGAAGTCCCAGAGCCTGTGCATCACAAGCGCTCCAGGTGATTTTCACACGCAAGATCAAGTTTGAGGCCAATGGCCCAACTCTTAGTATAATACCTAGCCCACGCTGCCTGTCCGGTTGCCATCCTGTGGTGAGGTGTGTGTCCCTGTGACTGTGGGACAGCAAACACAAGGAAGGCCCTGGACAAGATGAATGGCCACCGTGGCTGCAACGTAAGAACGGGTGTGAGGATGGTGCAGGACCGGGCAGTGCTTCGGTCTGTTATTCACAGGGTTCCTGTGAGTCAGAACTGACCCGATGGCACCTAACAACGACAACACAAAGTTGGAAGGTATGTCACTGAGATTTCAAATGAGAATTTTCAGACCAAGAAAGAAAGACTAGGAATCCGTCATGTTTGGTGAAACAGAGGCCAACCTGGGCATTAGAGAGGCTCAGTGAGATGGGCTGGCACAATAACTGCAGTAATATAGACTCCAACGTGCTGGCAAATGTGAGGCTGAGGAGCCACAGGAGTTAGCATTATAAACAACTAGTCCATGGAAACTCCTCTATACATGTGAGATAAATTAATGTAAAATACCAGAGAGCCATGACACATTAAGCGTTATATATTCCTATCACAATGATCTACATATAACCCCTTCCTAGAGGGATGGACAATAGAAAAGTGGGTGACGGGAGACAGCACTTGGTGTAAGACATGGGGGTTGGGGTAGATTATAAATTACCAAGGGTTCATGAGGGAGGGAGGGAAGAGGAGGGGGGAAAAGGGGAGCTGATATCAAGGGCTCAAGTAGAAAGAAAACGTTTTGAAAATGATGATGGCAACATATGTACAAATGTGCTAAACACAATGGATAGATGGATGGATGGGTGGGTGGATGGTGATAAGAGTTGTAGGAGCCCCCAATAAAATTATTTTTTAAAGATAATTATATATTCCTTCCACAAACATTAAGTCGCACCAATGTCTCAGCTGCAAAGACCTCTGTGGTAAAGAGC